GCGCCCGCGACTTAACACCAAAGTCATTTGATAGGTAAACAAGTACTCCACTCACCGATGTAACTTCGGTTTTCTGGCACCGTCGCCTCTCCCCTTCCCACCAACCACCATATTTTTGTGCATTGGCTTAAGTATACTCTCATATGTCGTTCGGCGGTATTTCCCGCCGCAACCTCAAGCTAAGGAGTCCGAAATGGCTGCTTTTACAGTCCTCTGATTTATCGGTCTACTTCAGATACTGATGGCTAATTTTTTCTCCCTACTTTGTCCTTTTTTGTCTCACAAATCTTTGAGTGAACACAGAATATTAATGACTCTGAAGTTGGGATTTGAAATTTTGTGTCATCTCCCCATAGCATATTTTACTGCGGATAGTTAGCTCATCCGATCACTTTAAGCTACAAGATTTATCTTAAAAAGGAGTTGCAGGCCTTAGGCCAAGGAAGCGTGCTTTAGGAAGTACTATAAATCAAGACAAGGCTCGATCTTTTAAGCGGAGATTCTAGTTATACTAACATTTAATAAGCAAGTGTTATTGTTAAAAAGTTTAACTCTAACTGGTCATTAGCCAACGCTATCTTGGGTTTTTTGCGGTATTAATCCTTGTTCCCCTCGATGGCGGTAGGTCGTTTGTGCTGCAGCCGTCGCTTTGACTGGCTTGTCCGTTCCTTATTAGGACGACCTTCCTCATTTAATCTCTCCGCTAATTTTGTCAGCTCCCGGAACAAAAACATTTCCTAGTTAATGAATCAAACAGTCTATTTCCTTCGATTGTTTATTTTCCAACCAACTGTATCGTGTGGCGCTATCCGCTAGTATGCAGCTTGTGTTTTCGAAACAAGTGAAATGCAACAGTATATTCTAAACTTTTTTCTCGCTGGATACAATGGCCTTTCCGGCTTCCGAGTGCCATATGCTCCCCTCTTTCAATCTCTTTTTGCCATTCATATGACAGTGTAGTTCTTTTTGAAGTAACTATGCAATATTTCGCATGCTTCCTAATGTGTATGCGCCATTTGCGCCCTGTTTTTTGTCTTTTGGTTTGTATGCGTGTTTTATTTAAAGGTAGCTTACTTGCTACGAAGAGACTAGAGTTCATTCTTAACCGTCATCCGCCTTTTCAGCTCCAACAGAGGGTCTTTCTGTGTTCCTTTTTAGTTTACGATCGGTGTAGGTCAGGCGTCCGGCCGCCTACATTTGCTCAAGACCTGCTTCCTCCCGTCTTCAGCTGAAGACCGGAATTCGCGATCAGCTTCCTCGTCACATTCCCTCGCGTCCAACCTAGAATCCGGAGAAACTGTCTTCCAGGTAACACATTACGAGGTAGATTCCTCAACTCCAACCATCTCATCGTCGGCTTCATCAATGAAGGATTTCGGTGGGCACTGTGCAGCCATTGTCTGGGTCAAACTATTTCCTCTGGCTAGCTACTCACAGACTTCCGTTGGCTTACCGGAGCCCATCTCGCCATCAGGGTTTCATTTGAGTCTGAGTCTTTTACGATTGGTTACCTGTAGCCTTGATGGCACCGTTTCCGTCTGGAGACTTGATTCTTCGACCTCTCTTCTGAAGCGGTTCCGGACAGTAAGTATTTCTCT